AGAGATTTCGTTTCCACAGGTTCAAACACAGAATACCTGGGCTGCCATTATAGCATTGTCATTCATGTGGGGTTGCAAACTCCACAGGTCTTCCTTTCTCTTCCATGACACCAAAGTATAATAAAAATACTCCTACTGCTACTACTAATAGTCAATACAGTGTAATACCTACTGTGTGCCAGACACTGTTCTAAATGTTTCAAATGTGTCAACTTATTTGATTTTCACAGCAACTCTGTGACTATCCTCATTTTACTGATAAGAAAACTTGAGTACCGGGCAGTTAAATAATTTGTCTAAATAGCAAGTAGAGGAGATGAGATTCAGACCCAGACATAGCTCCAAAATCAGTATCCAGACCAATGAGCTGAATCAGAATGGAAACTGAGGGGGGCAGGCATCACTGTCATTTAAAAGCACCCCACATTATTTCAGTATGCAGTCAAGCTTGAGAATCAGTACAGCTGCCTGTACTACACCCGAGTGGCTCGGCGTACAAGGCCACTATTGTTCAGAGTGTTGTGGTATTCTGTGACAGTGTATGTCTAGAGGCTTCTGTCAAGAACTGAAGTGACAGTAAAATGGTAGACCCAAAAGTGACAAATAAAAGGTTGTATAAATGTTGACCACTCTAGGTATTTCCACACAGAAAGAAGAGACCACCCAGTCTGCAGTTTTCTATTTCTCTGCTCTATTTCTTGATATCCATTTATTATCTATTAGATAAAAATCTGTGATGGTGCAATTCCCTCTTGTAGTGGACTAGAGGATGGTCAAATTTTTCTTCCAGTCTTCAATTTCCTTGGTAATGTGAACTGCTCAATTTTTTTTAATAGTAAGCCTGGATTTATTGAGTAATTTAAAAAGAAAAATTGAGAGTCCGCTGATGCCTAGCACATTGTAGGCAACCAAGGAATGTTTATTACATAGTTGGATAAAAACAAAGGTTTGAGAAAGATACTAAGAAGTCAGAGTGCATCTGTTGCACACTCGTGTCCCTCTTGTACTCCGCCGCAAGGGATTACTCTGCCGAGGGTTTCCCGGCGGAAAGCCTCCTCCACCCAGCTGCTCCTCCGTAATCACGTGTGGGCATCAAATTCTCTTTCCCCACTTTTTTACCAAAAAACAAAAAGCAAGCAAAACAATGCAATACCACACATTTGTAAGGGAGAAACAAGCACAATAATGACAAAATTTCTCCCGTTCCCACTCCTGGATCCTACAGATATGAAAGGAAGTTATTTTTATGGCCTTAAGTTAACTGTATTGTAAATTAACTTTTTCAAGACTTTTTTCTTTATTTTAGCTAACATTTTTATTATATATGTATATATATATATATGTGTGTGTGTGTGTAATTTTTGAAAAATTGAAGTGTAGTTGATAAACATATTAATTTCAAGCACACAACACAGTGGTTCACCAGTTACCCACATTATTAAATCCTCACCCCAACTAGTGCAGTTACTGTCTGCCAACATAGAAAGATGTTACAGAATCATTGGCTATGTTCTCCAGGCTGTACTACCATTCCTGTGACCAACTTACATTATGATTAAGAGTTTTTGTGCCCCTTTATCCCCCTCAATTTCCCCACCCACCCATCCTAAGTCCTCCCTCATGGTACCCACCAGTTACTTCTCAGTGACTGTGAGTCTACTGCTATTTTGTTCATTTTGTTTTGTTTTGTTTTCTACATTCCACAAGTAATTGAAATCATATGGTATTTCTCTCTACCTGGCTTATTTCACTTAGCATAATCTTTCTTTTTTATGGCTGAATAATATTCCACTGTTTATATGTAGCACATCTTTATCCATTCATCTATTGCTGGACATTGTGGTTGCTTCCAGTTCTTGACTGTTGTAAATAATATGATAATAAGCATAGAGGTGCATGTATCTTTTTGAATTAATGTCTTCATTTTCTTTGGGTAAATACCCCAAAGTGGAATCAATGGGTTATATGGTATTCCTATTTTTAGTTTTTTGAGGAATGTCTGTATTGCTTTCTACAGTGGCTGCACCAATACATTCCCACCAACAGCATAGGGGGATTCCCTTTTCTCCACATCCTTGCCAAAACCTGTGATTTCTTGTCTTTTGGATAGTGGCTGTTCTAACTGGTATGAGGTGATATCTCGTTGTGGTTTTGATTTTCATTTATCTGATGATTGGTGATGTGGAACATCTTTTCGTGTGCCTGTTGGCCATCTGTATTTCTTCTTTGAAAAGTGTCTGTTCAGGTCGTCCTCTTGTTTTTCATTCAGGTTGTTTTTTTGGTGTTGGATCATTTGAGTTCTTTTTATGTTTTGCATGTTAATCCCTTACTGGATAAATCATGTACAAATACATTCTCTCATACTGGGCTGCCTTTTTGTTCTGTTGATGGTGCTCTTTGCTGTACAGAAGCTTTTTAGTTTGATGTAGTCCCACTTGTTCATTTTTTATTTTGTTTCCCTTTTCTGGGAGATGTGTCCAGAAAAAAATTGCTCATACTTATGTTCAAGAGATTTTGCCTATGTTTTCTTCTAAGAGTTTTATTGTTTCATGTCTCAGTTAAGGTCTTTAATACATTTCAAGTTTACCTCTGTGTATGGAGTTAGACAGTAATCCAATTTCATTCTCTTTCTGTCTGGTTTTCCCAACACCAGTTATTGAAGAGGCTTTCTTTTCCTTTTTGTGTATTTATGGCTCCTTTGTCATATATTAATTGACCTATATATGTGAATTTATATCTGGGCTTTCTGATTTGTTCCATTGATCTATGGATCTGATCTTGTGCCAGTACCATGCTGTTCTGATTACTGTAGCTTTGTAGTATAGCTTTAAGCTGGGAGCATAATACCCCCAGCTTTGTTCTTCTTTTTCAGGATTGCTTTGGCTATTCAGGGTCTTGTGTGGTTCCATATGAATTTTAGGATTATTTGCTCTAGTTCATTGAAAAAAGTTGTTGGTAGTTTTGATAAGGGATTGCATTGAATCTGTAAATTGCTTTTGGCAGGATGGCCATTTTAACAGTATTAATTCTTCCTATCCATTGGCATGAGATAGATTTCCATTTATTGGTGTCTTCTTTAATTTCTTTTATAGGTGTCTTATAGTTTTCAGAGTATAGGTCTTTTACCTCCTTGGTTAGGTTTATTTCTAGGTAGTTTATTATTTTTGATGCAATTGAAATGCAATTGTTTTCCTGATTTCTCTTTCTGCCAGTTAATTGTTAGTATAGGGCAATGCAAGATTTCTGTGTGTGTATTTTGTATCCTGCAACTTTGCTGAATTTAGTTATTGGTTCAAATAATTTTTTGGTGGAGTCTTTAGGGTTTTCTGTATTTAGTATCATGTCATCTGCAAATAGTGATAGTTTTACTTCTTTCTTACCAGTTTGGATGCCTTTTATCTCTTTATCTTGTCTGATTGCCTGAAATACACTGTCTAAATTTGAATGATCATTAAACACAGAGTGATCTGTTTTTGGTATCTTTTGGTACTGAATATTAGAATTTCTGCAGGACAGCAACATAGGTAATTCCCTTTGATATCTTCTTAAAATCTACCTTCTTTGTGAGGTTTAAGGTTGTGTTGGCTCAGAATTCTGGAATTAGAGCAAAGGGATGAGTATTTGATAACTAAGTTTATTTTTATAAATTTTATTTGTTATCTAGTAAATTTTTTATCAATCAAAAGATAAAATTAACTACAATGTGGGCAGTTTAATTTGTTACGTATTTAAAGTTACAAAACTGTCAGTTTAAAATTAGTAGTTAATGTAGTACCTGACATAAATGTTTCTTGAATGAATCATGGAAATTAAACCAAATAATAAAGAAAAGTATTAAATGAAATGAGGCTATCTAAGAACAACAGTTTTTAAAATAGTAAAGGAATGATTCTAATTTCATATGCATCTTGAGATAAAAGGAATTATAAATTAGAGAATCACTGCTTTTATCTTCCTTGTTTATTGATGAAGGGGAATCAGTCTTTATAGTGCAAATTAAAAGCTATTAACTAAACATAAAGCATATTAATACTGGAAGTTGTTTGTTGATTCAGAATTTTAGCCTAAGGCTGAAATAAATGTATAATTATAGTTTCCTGGAAGAAGTTTTTTCTTAAAGGACTCTAGAAATTTATTCTTCATTTGAATTTCCTGTGAAGCTAAGATGTAGATATTTACTTAATATTAACTTTTGAGTTTATTCCTTATTCTTTAAAGAGAGTTGAATGTCTGGAGATATTTTACATTGCTGTGTTTTAAATCATGTCTATTTGTGAACTCAAAGCTATTTAGAGGAGAATTTTAAATTAAAGTTCTTTCTATCATTTGTGAAATAGGTTATAAACATGGAAGGAAATATAGAGAAATATGATTACCCTTTTGCTTTTGAGTACATATTTATTTTTACTTGAAATTGGGAGAGTTGGAACTAATTCATGTGTTTACTAGTTAAATGTTTTTCAAATGTGCTTCGTTTCCCACCATTGTCATAGTATTTTGATTGATTTTACAGAGGGAATTGTAAAAGTGAATTTGTATCCCTTTAAGAAAAATTTTGGAAAGTTTGTTTCTTCCTGGGTGGTATTTTATTACTTTTGTACATAGTGACTTTAGATGCAGTGGTATTTTAACATTGGTGTTTTGTAATCCTGAATCTTTAATCATGATACTAAAAACAGATATCATTATTTTTAAGAATACTGGGAGAAAGTAAATGTTACTTTTATTAAATTTCCATTTAAGGTTTGTATGCAGGATATGTATGTAGGACAAGTCCCTATTAAGGATTAGGGATTCTTTTTAATTTTATGTTCTCACCTCATGACATTTTTGAGCTTCAGTCTATAGAAATTATAATTTATAAAATTAATTGCATATCTCTATCATGAATAACTACTGATTTCTAAGTGGGACAGTGGTGAAGGTAGTAGTTTTCTTTTGCAGTGTGGAAGATTATTTCATTGCCTAATTTTCTACCCATTTTATCCTGTATTGCTCAGGGCTCCAGAAGTGTGTTGCCAGGATGGATGTTCTCAGGAGAGAGTCTTGAAATATTCCATGTGTGGGAAAATGACTTTCCATATAGATGCAAATCCAGATATAAACTTGAAAAAGGATGTGAAGAAGTTATGTTCAACAAGTACTGCATTTCAAAGGCTGCCTTAAATTTAGAGAGAGTTGTGTATCATGTTGTAGCATATGCAGTGGTCAAAATCATGTGATCTACACCTTATTGTGCCACCTGTAAAGGAAGAACGCTACCATTGCCTACTTCACAGGGTTGTTGTGAGGATTAAATGAATTAACACATATATGTTCTTTAAAACAGTTCCAGGCATGTAGGAAGTGCTAAATAAATGTTTGGTGTGGTTTTTGTGTGTGTGTTTATTATTACTATAATTCTTCAGAGTAGTGGGAGATGGCTAAGCGTTACAGATTGAGGTCATTGATTTTGATCCCCTGCACAGAGTTGTAGATTTTGAAACAAATAGTTCATATGACCTTAGAACAGAAAATATTTTGCTAATTAAGTTATCTTTTAATGCCAACTCTCTTTTTTATTAGGCTTTGTGATCCCGGGCCTGGGACTCTGCAGGCCACATTTCTGCACTGCCTGCTGCTCCCTGTTGGGCAGGCAGATAGGGGGTAGTAAAGGGCTGGAGGACGAGGGAGGGACTTGCTCGGTATTTGCTTTCCCTGGTCTTCCTCTTTGCCATTCCTGTGAGTACCACCCTCACAGCACTTTATCGTGTCAGTTTAAACCTTCCTGTAGCAGTTGCTGGACCGGGTTTGCAGTTTCCCCCACCCCTTTAGGACCAGTTTCATCACGCTTCCTTCAGAGGCGACTAGCACCAGCCAGCTGGTGCCCTTCATCAGAGGTCTGGGGCTAGGCCCTTGGGTCCTCTCTTTGCAAGTCAGACGTGACCACCAGCTGAGCAGTGCCTCCTCTCAGAAGTCTGAGCTTAGGTTCTCTGGACCCTTTTCTAAGCTTTTGCTAGCCAAGTGCTGGCTGTGATAGCTGCTTTCTGCAGCTGCTGTCTCTGATGCTTCAGAGTTCTCTTTTTGCTCCTTCAGCTAGTTACCTAGAGACTTTGTACTCAGTTAACAAATCTTATATTAAGTTCTATCTGGTCAGGTAACAGGTATGGTTCTTGTATGCTAACTGAATCTGGCTGATGTAGAGATGATAAGGACTAGTAGCCAACATGGGTTGGCTTAAGAACTTGTTATTACTTTTTTTTTTTTAGGGGTAATTCTAGGATGGCATAGTGTATCTTGATTTTCTTAAGTAATTTTATAAAGTATCTCATGATAATCTTTTGGACAACATGGATCTTATAGATTTGATTATAAAGTTGTTGAATTAGATAACCATAGAGTTAAAAGAAACTCGCAGAAAGTCTATACCAAAACACAGGACTCTTTATATGTATATATGTGTATCTCATCTTATTTACAAGACTTATTTCCTGGATGATGGCATGAGAGTTTAACTCTCCACTAAATGATGCTGAATATACAGAGAAATGTATTTCATTAATTATGTCTTTCTAGGTTCCTGCTGGATTCACTGTTTATTTGTAGGACCCTGTAATTCCAGGGGAAAATCCCAGGGCTTTTGAAACCAAAATCAGTCAAAAGGAGAAAAGGAGAAATAAAGTGAGAGAAACCCATTATTTCTTACAAGCAGTTGTCCCACATCTCTCTTGCCCTCTCTGCACAAAAAGAGAGAGCTCCATCCAAGTCTCCGGTCCAGATAAGCCCTCAGTCCAGATAAACCCTCGGTTTGCCTATGTAATTACCTATTGATACGGAGATGGCTACTTCTCTGCACCCTTGGAAACACCTATTGATATGGAGATGCACTAAGGCCAGGTGAGAGATTCTGGAAATACTGTGGTTTTACCCACAGCCCACCCCTCCGGAAATCTCATCTCACAATCTGCACATTCCCCATCGTCCACAGTCGCCCGTGTGTGAGAAAACTGAAGCATTGTAACCAGACTAATAACATAAAATCATGACAATCCTCAAGCCAGAGGATGCAGCTAGGTTCAAAGTCCTATGCAGATTAAGTCCATAGCTTGCCTATTCCACAGGTAGGCAGTAGCTGAACAGGTAGGGAATTCAGAGCAATCATCACATGGCAGCTGCAGCCAGGGGGCGCATCCAGGCCACAAGGACCATAGAAGAGAATAACCGTAAGGGCAATAAGATACATATTTTAATGACACCAGCCAGGTAGGATGCATGCAAGAGAGCGGTCCTGTGACAGGACAGTGGCAGGAATGGGATCTCATCCTGGTCTAGCACACCAGACTTTCACCCCTCCCTGTGGGAGTTACAGATGGGTCAATATATAGGGGTACGGGAGGTACATGCACTGGCTATAAAGATAAAACAAAACTTCCCCACAAGGTCATGTTACCTCCTGATGTTTTTGGTACACTCCTTACACTCCTGTGATCTTTGGGAGCCACTATGCTGTACTCCAGGAACACACAGGAGGCCAGCTTCCAAGCCTTTTCCCCAAGGTGCCAGAAGGGCCAGCCATTGCTGGTCCATGTGTCAAAATGCTCAGGGCCACATCTGCTTAGCAGTGTCTCCAGGGTTTAATGCAGTGGGGGCTGGCAGCAGGATGTTGCTCTGCTGGCCGTATCCTGGCCTCAGTAACTCCTCTTTGGTTTGCACATGCAGTTGTACAGGAGAGGCAGCAAGGTGTGTGAGCACGTCCACAGGGCTCAAGGCGCCTTTTCAGAGCCTCTCATTCAAACACCGTAGCACTGTCCATAGGTGAACCGACCAGCCCCTTAGACTACTGGTGTCCGACTTCAGGTCAGATTTCAACAAACCGTTGTACCTTTCTATAATGCCTGCCCCGGTAGGGTTCTATGGTACACGAAACCTCTACTTTATTGCTGATTGCTTCACCCATTCTGCAACACATGTCCAATAAAATGGGTGCCTTGACTGCTATCAATCACCTGTGCCTGGCCATAGGCTACAAAGAGACTCTCTAGGCCCTTCTTGGTGGTTTGCTGTTCTGCATTATGTGCAGGAAAAGCAACCAACAGGCCAGTAACATTGTCCACACAAGTTATGGCATGCCGATACCCTTCTGTTATGGGCGGAGGCCCAATGTAGTCCATCTGCCACCTGACAAGGGGTTTCGGCCCCTTTACTATTGTCCCATGTTGCTGTGGGACGCTGTGTAAGTCCCTCTTAGAGCACACAAGGCACTCCTGGGCTTGGCCGACTTCCTCACAGGTCAACAGCAAGCCCCATGGACAGGTTACAGCCCACATTATCTTTTGCCTCGCGTGCAACAAACACTGATGTAACCATTAGGCTCCATCAGAGGCAGGCTTTCCTTCTAACCAAAGCACCTGGGCTAGTGTGTCTGCTTCATCATTCCCTGGGGGTGCCAAAGGCAAATGGCCACTCACATGATATGTGGTAACAGTTTTAGTCTGACCAGAGGCCCATAGGCCTTGCCACATCCAGTTGGCATGGTACCATGTCAATAGCCACAGGGTCAAACCCCAATAGACCAGCTGTCAGTGCAGACAACTACAGGGGAAGGCTCCTGGGTGATCACGAGCCATACCTCTGACAACTCAGCCCATTGGCTGCTCTTCCCCTCTCCATCCTCCATCCATATTGTCTCAGTCTTAGGATGGAAAGCCGCAGCCCTCCACTTCAGCGGCTGCCCACGACTGGAGCCCTCTGTGTACCAAGCATCTTCAGGTACAGGGGCTTTTCCCTCCTGATAAGGACTCTTGGCTACCAATGGCTCAAAAGCAAGTTCTTCCTGCTTTCCACTGGTAGAGGTCACTGGCCCTGTTAAGCGTTGGAGTTCTCCACTTAAGGGGCTAGTAAAGAGGGTGCTTTACTGCTGTAAATATGTGCCCCATTTGGCCAGTGTAGGTGTCTGTGCCAAGCCGCTCTGTGGCCTTTGAGTCTAATCTTACGCCCATCCCTTGATGGGATAGGTGGTTATTGCCTTGGTCAGAGCTGTTCCGGTGATGGGCTCTGTAGCCAGCAAGGTGCGGTACACAGCAGCCAGTTGCTTTTCTATCAAGGTGTACCAGACCTCTCTCCTTTCCATAGTTGTGACCAGAATCCAGTGGGTTGGCATGTCTGTTCAAACTGCTGCCAAAGACCCCATCCATAAACATCCTTGGGTACATGAATATCTAGCTCACAGGACCATGATGAGTTCATTACACTCAAGGCCTGTATGGCCTTAACTGCTTGTTTAGTAGCAGTAAAAGGAGCTGCACATGTCTCATCCCAGTCCCACCTGATGCCCTTTCGTACCAACTGGTATAAGGGCTTCAGAATTTGTACCAAGTGTGGGATAAACACTCTCCAGTAGCCCTAAAGACCCAAAAACTCTTGGGTCTACCACAGTGGTAGGGGTAGGGAAAGCCTGGACCTTGTCTGTGACTGCTTCAGGAATAACTTTAGTTTTACCTGACCAGACAACCCCAAGAATTTTATAGACAAAGAAGGTCCCTGGACCTTGGTACTGTTCACAGCCCATCCTTTCTCCTGTAGATGTTGCGGCAGTCTAGCTTCTGCCCCTTCTAAATCTGCAAGAGAATCAGACGTGAGCATAATTTTATCAGTGTGGTGATACAGCCACACCGATTGTTGTTTCTTCCACGTGGCCAAGTCCCATGACAGATGGTGGGACTGTGGAGGTATCCCTGTGGCAGGACAGTGAATGTCCACTGCCGGCCTTCCCACATGAAGGCAAACTGTTCCTGGCTTTCCTGTGCTATGTCAACAGAGAAAAAAGCATTAGCAAGGTCTACTACATAAGGATATGTCCCTAGTTCATGACTGAGAGTGTCCATTAGGGCTGCTATAGAGGGGACAGCAGCATGCAAAGGGGGTGTGACTTTATTCAGTTACCTGTAGTCCACAGTCATACGCCAGGAGCCATCTGACTTTCTCACTGGCCACACCAGGGAATTAAAAGTGCTATGAATGGGCTTTATGATGTCCTCCCTCTCCAACTCTTGTAGAGTTTCTCCAATTTCCTTGTGTCCCCCAGGCAATTTATACTGCTTAGAAATGTCACTTGTCTAGGTATAGGCAGAGCTACAGGTGGGTGCTTAGGATGTCCCCTCAATACTGCCTTTACCACATGTATCTGCAGTCTGAACACACCTGCAGTGGTCTGAACACACCACAGGCCCTGCAGGATATCCACCCCCAAAATGTATTCAGGGATGGGAGAAATGTATACAGTATACTCCTTTAGGGGTTAATGCCCTATCTCCAGTGGGATTTGGGCTTTCTTAACTCTGACTGCCTTACCCCCATCGCCACCACAGAAAAACACTCACAGAGAAACACTCAG